AAACGGAAGTTGGAGGTTATTTTAAAATAAATCATTAATCGTCCATGTAACACGAATAATATTTAATGTTAAGAATACGGTACACTTATCGATACATATATTGCCTTTTTTTCATCCCATTAGCATTGTACTGGTTTTAATTTGATGCATAATAATTAATAATATTATTACATCTCAAGTCATTGACCTAAAATTAATTATTGCATATCAAGATTAGAGTGATTCCGTTAGTTTCATACCTTATTTTTGCGTTAATTTCATAACAGCAAATAGAAAAAAAAAAAAACGTCCAACATACTATGCTATGTCGATAAAAAATCTTTTTAATAATCAACGTTAAAATTAATAACAAATAAGCTGAGTGATTTGGTAAATTAAAATTTACGGTTAATGAATTTAAGATGATTAGATGCGTAACGAAAAAGAAGCTCTCGTGGTATGATTTGAAAAAAAAAAAACGACCTTCTCATCTCACCGGTATCCGAATAAAAAGGAATTTCAATTTAAATACTTTTTGTAATCCTTACAGCATTAGAATCTATCGAATGTCCTTCCCTCTTTCTTATTTAAACTCTTCCGCGTTTATGTATGATGGTCCACTTTCACTTACTTTAGAGCAGCGTGTAGTAAGTACATTTGGCTACTTTGAGATTGTGTTGCGGTCATTAACCCAGCAATTAAGAATGAAGTTAGCAACGATGCGTCGCGCCGCAGCAGTCGGTCAAATGATTGCTTCTTTTCTACATCTTCTTCTCCTTCTTCTGTGTGGTTTAGTTAGCAATGATGAAGATAACCGTAAGCGAGAATTTACGATTACGATCTAGGCGCATGTTTCCGGATAGCAACTATGATTATTCATTTTTTTTTTATCAGCAATTACTTCATTTCTTACATATTTATATTTTCCTCAATGTATGTCAATATAAAATTTAAATTTAATAATTTCAACATTTTTTATTTTCAAATTAAATTTCATTTAATAATCATGAAAATTAAGTGAAAAAAAAAATTTTTGTTATTATAATTTAATTCCAAGCATAAAAAACAAAATTTTTAGTATATTTTATTATTGCTCATTTAAATATATTTATATGATGTATTAATACATGATATTTGTCTTAGCGGAACAACTTTTGAATGATTTTACTCAAGTGAATTATGTAAAATTATTATATGTGTACTTATATACTTTATAATTAGAGCAGTTTATTTCATTCATACATTTTTACAAGCAGCGTATGAAAAAAAAGAATACTAATAACCATAAATCACCGTCTAATTTATTATTATAATTGTATTTGTTAAATTAACAATGTGCTAGAGGATGAACGTCATTAGCAATTACTTGCACATTAGATTTATGGTAACAATGTGGTAAATACTCGTACTGTATGTCTGGTACAGACTCTTCGATTTCGAAAGCTTCAATAAAATTCTTATTCTTATATTATGTATTAGTTAGTATATTTTACACGAGAGTAACAACCCCACGTGAACGGTTAGCTTGATCATCGATGCGTAGATCGCGATCCACATACGAAACAGTGCGAGTTCCTCGGACACGAGCTTATTCTTTCTTAGTTGCTGTTTCTTTTTCCGCAATTCTTATTTCTTGTAGTCTCACGACGATGTTCGTTCAAAATACAACTTTTAACATTATGTTGCCTTTTTTTTATTGGTAATTTTAATTTTTTAATTAACAACAACGGTCATAATAATAATAACAATATTTATAATGAAATCTGCTGTTGAGTAACAAGTGATTAAATTAAATAAAATATTTGAAATCATGGTTAATTATTTAATTATTCATTGTGATTCCCAAGTGACCGAATGATTTGGATACTGAAGCTCATTTTGGTAAACACAATTATCGCTTTATTATTCATTGAATAATTTATTTAAAATATATTGCCTAATTAAATCTAATTAACATGTGATGTTATTAAGTTAATTTTGAATAACGGACTTGTCAGTTAGTATGCACATAAGCTATTTTCTCACTAGTTTATTAGTTTCTCAAGATTACGCTCAGTTAAATAATAAAAATCTACTAATATTTTCTTCTGATTATTAAATAATATTTAAAGGAATAACGGAAATCAATAGCGATCTCGAACTAGCCGACCTACACCTTAGGTGCAGCTTGCCCACGCGAGTTATCACGGTAACTTGTTAGAACGTTATGTTATACATTATAAAAATATTTTTACGGAGGTATAGTACTAGCCAGTCATCAATGATTGTTTAATTTAAATTTACCTCATAACTTGTATTGGCGTTGGCGTGTAGGTTGAAAATTATTTGTATCGAATTGTTTAGCTATGGAATTTCATTTATAATTACTGCTATTCATATTTTAATTTCTTTTCTGTCATGTTTAATGCTTATTTATTTATTTTACCCTAGAATTGTCAATTATATTGCGATACATTGCGTCAATGTTTTTATTTATTTTTCTTTTGATTTACCGTAAAATTATTATTCACTCGCAATTAATATTAAAAAAAAATAAATTTTCCTTTAAGTAATTTGATTTATTGTGTCATATTTAAACTTTGCTAAAAGTAAATAAAAAAAAAATATTTATTGTAGCTAAATTTACACTTTTTGAACAGTGATGAAAAAGTGTTAGTACTACAGCTAATATTACTATAAATTTTATAACAAAATACTAAGGTTACATTAAATTAAAAAAAAAATGTGCGTCACGAATAAGCTTAATAATAACTCACATAATTGCACATACCTGATATGAGAAAGGCAATGTTAGCTTTCATACAACTCGATCTCACAGCAGCAAACTGCACTTACCTTAGCTCTTTTTGCATCGGGATTGCTTCAAGAGTCAACATACCTATCAACCTATCAACCTACTCTGTGTCAGATTTCGCTTTACTTGTAATTTAACCAGTTGGAGGTTTTAGCAAAAATTTAAGTGTAAGAGTGAGAGTAATAGCAATGTATATATAGCTTGAAGATGAGGAAGACATCGAAACCCTGACTTGGATTTATCTGGATACCTTTGCTAATAAATAAGACTACTACTTTATTCCATGTATGCACTCTCTCTTGTGGTGAACATAAAAGTGGGTACACTTGAATGCACTATCTTCTTATCCCCATCACCTGCATATCTACTTATTATATCAGAAAACATATATATATATATATTCTGAGAAACTATTCGTAACACTTTTGAAACTTGATAATATCGCATTTTAAATGTTGACCGTGAAGAAAAATTAACTGACAGTAATCTCAATGTTTCACTTGTACTTTCAGTTATTTATAACACCTTTAATCGTTAAATCATTCATTTGGTCAAATTATGATTTAGTTAAATAATCATTATTAATTTTTCAACTAATGAATTACGTAGTTATTTAATTAATGATAAAAAATGCTAAAAGATGATTTTTTTGAAAATCGTAATACAAAAAAAAAAATTTTATTTTGTAAAATAATTATATTTGGTGCATATTTATCTTTGACGGTATGATATTTAATGGAATGTTTGTATCTTTTGCCGTGACGCCCTTCCCGATACCGTCAGTTAACGGTGACAACGTGTCTTTTTATAGTATCATCATTAACTTAAGTCGGCGTAGCATACATAAATACATACACTGATATATCAACTAGTATATAACTATCTAAGCTGTGTTACTTGTAAGGCACATAACAATCAAGGTGACGGTGAACATTAGTGACTTTGATCGTCCGTGACGGCTCCTGGAGTTCATTCATGCGAGATTGTACAATCTAAATGTAACATCGATCGAAAGTAATTCAACGAATACATCTGCCGCTCTACATTTTATTATAAACTCATCAATATTTTTATTCCACTGTAAACCATAAATTTTCAATTTTAAAACGTTCATTCCCTACTGGGAATTTTTTTATTGTACTGGCAAGGACGAGATATTTTTTTCACTACTATTTCACGGATGACGTACACGATGCTTGAATTTTTGCATTTTATGGACCGGTGAATTTTCTTTTTCGTTATGTTGCACATTTATAAATTATTATATTTATTTTATGATGTGATATGATCGTTTCATGTAATTTCTGAACTTTATACTGTAGTTAAATATTCTTTCTTCAGTATAAAACGAATACATGATTTTTCCTACGTTGAATATTCGTTAGACTAAATGTACTTGTATTTCTTGCAAGCTATAAATTATTAGACATTTAAATATATTCAAACAACATGATTGGATTTTAGGAAATTTTCTAAACTAATAAAATAAGTAGAAGAATTTATCAGATGTATATAATTTAATTTCTATGTAAATTAAAAATTAACATTACTTATTTACCAATACTAGTAAAATTTAATGTTTAAATTTTTGCAATGTAAATGAACTGTAAAGTATAACAAAATGATTAATAGCGTTGTGTTTTTTAGAAATTGTATATTAATTTCAATTGAAAGTCAAGCAATAATAAAATAAGTCGGAATTACAAAATTTTCATTTGCGCTCAGTTCTATAATTATGGTATTGTCTGTAAAAACTTGATAGGCCACAAATGTCTGATCCGCTGACCCGTTTTCAGCGACCTGCACGCTTTCAAAGTCAAACTCACTCAGTCATCCACGACCAAATGAGAATTATGTACAATAATAAATTAATAACTTCTCAGTGGCCTATTTCTTCATAATAACTACAGTAAATTCCGTCTAAAATATTCAGTGAAATTACATTTATCACTTTCTTCAATGAGTCTCCTTTAATAATTAACAAAAAAAAAAAGTATTAATAAAAGCCGAGTCAGTGACTGAATATGAATATTAATATAAATTTTAATATCACCAAAATTTTTAATTACTTAACAGAAAAGTCCATTCACTCCACAACAATATACACCATATACTTGCGCGAATTCACGTTGATTTACAAACACAAACGCAAACTACTTCCACTGGATCGATAATAATCGTATACCTGTTCTATTCGAGCAGCGACCCCCTTTACCAACTTTTTAACATGCCTTTGACCCCAATTGTCCTTATCTCATGATCAATCATCAGCAATAATATCACACCAACTGAACTCTTTCTTGAGAACTTTTTTATTTATTCTCAATCAATAAAATATAATTTTTTTACTCTCACCCCGCCTTCAATGAGATGAAATATTTTTATTGTTTTTACAGACATGATAATTTATTTTTTTTTAATTATTCCAGGCCAAACAACGTGCCTCCGTGAAATGGCTCCTCTCGAAGGCGTACAACAACCGCGTACCGGACAATCTACGCGAGCCTTACTATCGTGATCTGGAGGTAAGATATTTTTTTTTGGTATTATATTAAACTATTTTAATCAAAGATGAAAAATAAGAATGAAATCTTCTCTATTTTACAATTGCAATAAAAATTATCCGAGCTGTTTAATAATACTTATAAGTTTTTAAAAACTGTCGGAAAAAAAATCTTATAAAATTCTTGGCAAGAAATTTTCTCGTTGAACTCTTTTTAGCATGTCACTAACAAGTTTTATCAACAAAAAAACCCGCTGGGCATGTTGGGAAAGTCAGCATTTTTTAACATTAAAAGAGCAAGTGAAACTTTACCCATAAAATCGAGATAAACTTTAGTGATTATCTTTTACCAATCGATCGATCTTTTAACGCGTTATATAAATTTTTTGTAAAAAAATTTTTATTTTGTACAAATGGTGTCAATTTTTATCGTTGAATAAAATCAAAAGATGGCAATTGACTCAAATTTCATTAAAATCAATTCTAATTATAAAAAACACAAAACTGATTCGTGAGAATGAAGCAATGATACTTTGAAGATACTTAACGTTTATTTAATGGATTGTATATAAGAAAACTAAAACAATTAATGAGAAAATAACTATAACAGTCAGTAAAAGTGCACATGTTGCACCCACGTAAGACCTCACTTGCTTGGCAGCAATCCAATTAAACCAATCGAATTAGTTTTACGTTTGCACTCCAACATGTCTCTCCGTATAGTAAATAATCAGGGAGTTATATTGTCATCAATCGTGAGTACTTAAATCAAAATATAATAAATAATAATAAACACATCATAAATTAAATGTATCTTTTGGAAACATTGTTAAGGATGCACTATTATTTAAAAGTATTGTACGGGAAAAGTTTTTATGCAAATTTAAAATTTATGAATTTTTTACGGCGCAAGGTTCGTTAATAAAAAAAATATAAAACTAAATAGTGAATGCCAGTTAAACTGTAGCTATTATGTCAAAGTTTCATGTAACACTAAACATCCTTTGCTCAGAAGTTGTGTAAAAAATTCAAGCGGTGATACGATCACTGATTATCTTGGCACTAATCCAGCCGTTTCCTCTGTCTCCCAAGCGACCATCAGAATCAATAGTATCGCTTTCAAATTATTAAGTAATTGCTGCACTATTCTGTACATTACTCTAATTAAAGTGTTTTTTTTTTTTTCTGTTTTAGGATCAAGAGCATTTAAAACCACAAATTGTTCATTCGTTATCAAATGCTGAGCTATATTGTCTTGCATTGGCGAATATTTATTCGGACCCGAATTACCACAACCAAAACCACTGGGGAATATTGCAAGCGTTAGCGAGGAAAGGTGTCTATGTAGCTGAGCCTAATAATTCTCAATTAACTGAAACTATTCTTATTCAAAATTCACCATTGAAAATGGTAATTATTATTATTTTTATTATGATTTATTTATTTATTTAAATTAATAAAAAATACTACGGGAAAAAATTTATTTAAAGTAAAATAGGAATTGTTTTTTTTATAAAATTTCAGTCTGCACATATGGCTGTGATAGAAGGTTTGATGGTCTTGTACGCGAAGGAAGTAGTGACAGGAGACCGTGTAGTGGCGGCGATCCGACGATTTGATCCTCAGCCAGAGATTGAAGTGCCTGGTGACCATGAAAAGGGCTTACTTATGTGGATAAGTCATGCCTCGCATGCATTAATCGCCAAAATCCAAACGGAAGAAGGCGCTGGAGACAAAACGCGACTACCTGAGTTACCTGCAGCCAAGGACTTTCAGTCATTGTGCGACGGTGTGGGTTTGGCTGCTGTTGTGGCCTTCTACTGTCCCGGCGAGCTCAACTGGATGGATATTAAAGTGTCAAAAAGACCCTCTGTTGCAGATGCACTCCACAATCTCTCACTTGTTCATAATTTTTGCATAAGATGCTTGCCCTACTCTATTTTTCATATGCAACCTGAGGATGTTACTTACATGAGAGGGTAATTATATTATTTCATTTTACGTTTGTCATTTTTATACAATTCGTCTGGAAATAATTCAAGGATAACTTTCTACAGTCAGTACATTACATTATATTACGATGAATTTAAAAATCACTGTTGTAAAATTTAATACTTTTTATATATAATCGCATAATGTAAGTTGTACTGAACAGTTGCTAAAATGTCCTTCAATTATTATCAGTGAGTGAATAATTTTATAAATAATAAAATATTTATCTTGTCAGGTCTATGAAACAAAATTTACTGGTTTTTCTCGCGGACATGTATAACGTGCTCGAGATACATCCTGTTAAATGTGTACGTTATCCAGGAGAGGAAAGAGCCTTGCAGTATCTCGATGGTATGGATTATTTCCACTCGACTCATAAGTATATTTAATTATTAATCATTAATTACTTAAACAAGTACACTTATTATTTATTTAATAAATTAAATATTAGTGTAAACATGAATTAAAAGAAAATAGAAATTAACTCACTAAATAAAGATGTGAGCACTTGCGTAAGTCGACACCGAGTCAACACGTTAACGCCTCAATGGCACATACTATACGTACGATTGTATTTATTTAACTTTATTGTTGTTATTATTATTGTTACTATGATAATATTATTAAAATTTCCACATGGGTGACGGTTTATTCTGTATTGTATGATCGGTGAAGGCTACGCACTCTTTTATTACGATTAAGTAAACAAATATTTCATTTACGATATAATGTAATTATTTACTGCAGCATTTTATGCGAAAATATCTTGACAAAGTTTACTCGTTAATCGTAATAAAATTTCGCTTTTTATCAGTGTCAATACACATTCGTACGAAATATTGGCGTGTATGAGTGTTGACTATTTAAAAAAAATTAAGTACAAGTCGCGCTAAAAAATAATATTTAAAAAATTAAACACAATTACTATATTACCGTATATTTTTATGGTCAAATCTTCTTGACGATATGAACACAACAACTCAATTGGTGTATCCGTCTTCTTCTCTCATCCGCCACCACAACTCAATCCTCAATGAACAATAAATATTGATACAAAACAATTAACTACCAATACCAATATCAATACCGATGTATGTGTGACGGTGTGACAATAATCAGCTTGCCCGCGCAATAGTCACGGGGTAGCTCATAAACGAAGTCTACCGCAAGCTATAGCTCCAATTCCTGATCTGAGAAGCAACCTCTCTGTGTCCGCGCCAGGTTTCACAGGTATCCGTGTGGTTAAAACCACGATCAAAACTATCTCAAGTTTTATAATTATCATAGGTGGTTTTTTTTTTTTTTTTTTTTTCATTTTCTTTTATAAATCCTCTTCATCGTGTTATTTTTTTCATCGCCATCCGTGGTTCTGTAATTCATTTGTATTACAACGGGAATAAATGTCTTGTTTTGTTTCTTCTATTCTCTTCTCTTCAAGCTCCAGATAACTGGGAGAATTTCATAAGTCATTTTTATTGACTGTTTATTAGCTTCTTTATCTATCACTAGTTACTCTCCCGATAAACCATGATTCAAATGCAATCATTTCTGTTCACTATCTTTGTTTATTTTTTTTAATGGTCATACTAATATAATTAGTATAGATTTTTATCATTTTAATTTATACAGATAACGTTACACTTTAATGAATTTTATTGATATTTTTAAAGATTAAATAACTTCATCGTTATTATATTATCAGTTATTTTAAAACTCAAAATATTCAAAGAAGTAAAAAAAAAAAAGAAAATTTTATAATTTATTTTATATGATATTTCAATCAAATAATTATAATTTGCATTTGAATAATGGTATTATTAAATCAATTGATGAGATGTTTTGAATGAGAAGAGAAATAAATTTTAGGCGCACAGCTTGTTACTAATATTAATAAGTATGGTTTGCTAATAATACATATATAAATATGTAAATATCTATATATACCATAATTACATGAAAAGTAGTTCTCGATTCATACTACATGACAATGAGAGTGTGCATGAGAGAGATGTAGAAGTGATGGAAATAAATATCAATAATACCCAAGATCGCGATTCATATTTTATTATTGCTTGAATTATTTTTTCGCTTTTTACTTATGGTTATTTTTATTTATGCATGTCGTTTTGTCTTATTTGCCCATTGTCATTACTCATTTAGTAGCCATCACATTTTTGTTTCGACCATTGTCAATTAAGAGTAAATGCGTTCAATCATGAGATGAGGTCAACTTCATTTTTCGTTAGTTAGTATTTTTTTGCGATCTACTTTTTTTTATTTATCTTTTTTTTTTTTTTTTTTTTTATAATCATATGTTCATTTTGTGTTTCAGTATAGATTTATCAACTGCGTGTTAGTAATAGCTAATTATATTTTAAGTATAAATTTTTGTGCTTGTTTACTCAACAAGCATAAAAATTTTCGCTTTAATTTTTATTTTAGGCTTTTTATTATTTATTAAAACAAAGATACTAGTAAATATTTATTTTTTTTTCTAGATAATAGTCATAGTAGTTAAGTATTTACTGGAATCTTTATCAATGCATTTTTTGTTAATTATTTTATTGATATTGAAAATGATTTTTTACTTGATTTTCATAAACTCCATTAGGTAATAAGCTTACTTTCACTTAATAATAATAATAATGAAAAAAATATTAAATGGTTCATTAAATTTTGCAGTTGGGAAGCCTATACCATCAAGCTCTGTAAGAAAATCACAATCGCTTCAACAAACGGCTGAAAGTCATTCATACGATGATAGGTAATATATTTCAATAATAATCACAATAAATATTTAATAAAAAAGTAATAAATTATTCAATTGCAGACGCGCCGGGTCTGAAGAAAATTTTATAGTACACAGAAATCGTGGTATCCCGACCCTGAGTTCTGTAATAGATGATAAATATAGTAATACAGCTGCTGGACGGCCGAGTAATTGGGAAGACCAACGAAGAAGTTCATACGCAGGAAGACGTTCGCGACGCAACAGTGTGACGGATGACTCCCAGTTGACAATCGAAAATTTTGGTGGATCACAGGACAATTTACATAATTTTGGATGTGTTCGAAATCCCGATAAAGAGTTAGTGCACACGGGTAAGCGCACCGCGACTGAACCCACACTTCCAGCACGCTCAAGCGTCCAAGACGCTTACGGGAGCGACGTCCAGAATATTTTAGCTGACAACGGTTACGGAAATGACGACCTGCCACCCACGAGATTACGACGACAAATTTCTAATTCTAATCTAAATAACTCAAGTCACAAAAATGTTTTACATTCCACGGATAATAATAACGAGAACACTGACGGCGAAATAAAAACAACAGCCAATACGAGTGCTACAAAAATGTCAAGTTTTGCTAATTTAACCCAACACAATTCGGAAAAGAGTATTAATTTTAAGTATACTGAGCAGCAAGAACATGACGAACTCAGTGCCAATAAAGTTAATTATAATAATAAAAAATTTGGACAAAGTAATGGTAATGGTATTGGAGAAAAGAAAACAACTTTTGCGACTCTACCTAATACAACAACGTGGCAGCAACAAAGTGCTCAACAGTCTCAACAGTTGGAACAACAATCAGCTGGTGAATTTTATTTATTTTTTATTAAATTACTTAAGAAGCTTTACTCTTGATTACTTTAAAATTTATCTAATTTTTTGAGTTTTAAATTAAAAAAATTTTCTGAAACTTCTTTAAACTTGTTGGAGTATTTATTTTTTTTTTTTTATTATTCATTATCTCATGAAATGTTTCTCCTGTTAACATCTTAGATTAGATTTTATAATACAGAGAATTCATAACTTTATATTTAAAAAGATAATTATTGAATATCTTACTGATTATTAATAAATCATTTCAGATGAAAATGGCGGTAATACAATGGTATACGCTGCGCAAATAAATAACATAAAAATGAAATTAGAAGAAAAACGCCGGCTTATCGAGAACGAAAAAAGAAGAATGGAAGTCGTTGTCTCGAAACAGCGACAAAAAGTAGGAAAAGCAGCTTTTCTTCAGGCTGTAACCAAGGTTAGCATTAACAACTTATTAAATAATAACTTTAATATTATTTTTATTACTAAAAAAAAAAAAATTATTGTCTGTTTAAAAACTCTAATATTTTAATATCTTCTTGAATTAATTGTGTGTGTTGCTAATCAATTATAATGCAATTATGTTTCTAATCTTTCAGTTTTACATTGCGGTAAGTGCGTGTTGGATGGACAGATTGTTTGTCGTCTCACAAAGTCATGCACTTATCAACCTTATTTATTGTTTTATAAAATATTCATTTTTTAATAATTTTTTTGAGTTATTTTAATTGGCTCAGGTTGCATGGTTTTATAATTAATTGATTAATTTTAAGTATTTTTATTGTTTATATTAGTCGCCGTAGCCAAGTGTAGAAAAATTCGCTTTGCCTAAAATTGAAAAAGAAATTTATATCAAATAAATAATAGTAAATCCCAAATTGTATAAAATTAAATTAGTAAATTAGACAGCACGTTTTTCACCGTCAAATTATTTTCCGTAGTCGCTGTAGTAAAAGTTGACGCTTTAAATTAATTAATTAATTAATTAATTAACTCACAAATAAAAATTAATTAGTTAATTAATTAAATGTAAAAAAGAAACTTGGCTGCGGTATTTTTTGGAGTTGTTGATTGGTGATGGGATGTGAGTGTATAACAAGGGTCGGTGGTTGGGATGGTTACAGGGTAAGGTTAAATCTCCTTCTTCGTCAACATCCGGTGGTGACAGTCCCGTAGAGCATGGTCCTCCTACTCCATTGTCCTCCGGATCCGCTGGAGATACCCCAACAAACGTTACCGAGACTACGTCATCGGTACCTCATCAAAATGCCCAAGAAAAACCGCAGCGTCCTTTTTCACTGAAGGTACGAAACTGCGTTTTCATTTTAATTACTTGTCTAGTCATTTTTTTTTTTTCTTCTGCTACATATTATTTATATTTTTTTTTCACATTTAGCTAATTGTTGACAGTTGGGTAATTATTTTACCAAGATATATTTAATGGCTGTGAATAATTTATTTATTTATTTTTTTGGTGATGGTTATTATGTATTTATTTGCTATTAATAATTTTATTATTTTAGTTTAAAGCTAATGTAATGTATGCTTTTTTATTATTTTATTTTAATCTTATAAATTAATTTAATTTATCTAATAAAATATATTTAATTAGTAATTAAATTAAAAGACTTGATTCGTGACAAATATTTAGAGCAGAACAAAAATATTAATAGTTAAACTCAATTCTTGGGAGAGATATACTCAATATGATACTAGATATTGATCAAACACAAAGATAAATGATCTTGAAATAAAATGTCGCTATAGACTTAACATTCTTTATTTGTCTAAATGTTAAAAGTTTCAGTTGGGTTTAGAATGTCGTGAGTGTTCTGCATTTTTTTAGTTAAACAATTTTATATTAATTAAAAAATTTAGTACATTTAATTGCATTATAACGATAGTAACGTTTGCTTAGATAAATAAATAAAAAAAATATTTTAATTCTTGAAAACTATAAATTACGAATGACGTAATTCATCTCGGTCTAAATTTTTTATTTAATTTTTAGCAATTATTTTTTATCCAAATAATTTATAAAAAAAAATTATTTTTTGTAGGAAATTACTGAAGATATTCATGATGTCGAGCACAAGTGGTTGGAGCAAGATGGTAGTGCGCCATTTACTGAAACTCGCCGTACTCCTGACATCGAAAACATGGATTTCGATCAATGTCAACAATCTATATCACAGTAATTGATATCTTTTATATTTCAATTAAAATGACTACACAGAAAAAAAAATGTTCTTGAATCAAGTATATAATTTTGAAGAAATTCATCTTCTTGATTTGAGTAAAAAAATTCTTAAACTAAGTAATTTTTACTTTGTTTAAGTAAAAATTTTACTTGATTCAAGAATTTTCCTCTTGAATCAAGTTAATTTTTTTTTCAGTGTATACACGGCGTTAATAAATATCCCTTGTATCCACCGAGCGTGGGTATAACAGGGTCCGTTGGTATATTAATAATGTGGTAAATTAATAATGAGTATTATTTAATTTCAGCATGAACTCGACTTTAAACGACATACAAGTAGACATCCAACGTCTCGCGAGCCAACAAAATCAAATTCAACAGCAAACTCTGATGACCCAGCAACAGCAACAAATTCACCAACAGCTGCAAGAGCTCCAGAGTTTGCGGAGCCAACAACAACATCTCCAAAGTTACGGAATGCCGCCGATAAGCCCTATGACTCCGCGACTTGCAGATACGCAGCCAGGACAATTTTACTTACATGACCAACCGCAGCAAATGCAGAGAAGAACCTGGGGTCGGCCGGCACACCAGCAGAATTTGGTTAACGAAATGGCCTCTGTGGGCCACTATCAACCACAACCGGTTGTCGACCCTCATTATAGTCCTCAGCCAGTCGCCGCTGCCTCTGTTATATACCAACAAGATCCTCGCCTGTATCAGGACACAAGGACTTGGGGTACTGGTGCTATACCTCAGCAGAAAGGGTTTGTTTTGCATGATAACACGCAAGATCAACAACAATATCAGCCGAGGTATCTCAACGGTGGCGATCATAGTCTCTGCAATAGTCAAATGCATCAACCGATTCAAAATTATCCGTCGGCTGCACTTTTTAATCAAACCCCGCCCACGGCTGCTAGTCCTCAACACCGTAATGCCGTGAGTATTTTTAAATAATCATTTATTTATTTATTTTATTATTATTATTATTATTATTATTATTTTTAAATGGTAATTTAGAGGCCAATGATTTGAAATAAATTAAAAGATACTGTACACTACTCACTCGTTATTGTTTAAAATGAGGAATAATTACATTAGTGAGAGGTTTAAAGGTCTTTGACGATTGGCTGTGTGTTGGTAGCCATGATCGGTGTTAACGTACATCCGTACATTATATTAGTATTAAGAGTCTTATTTACAAGAGCCAGCAATGCTAAAACCAGTTGGTGATGTAATTCGCCTTTTTAAGACTGTCTGAGTTGTCACCGAACATGGTAGCGTCATCCCACACACTGTTTCTCCAGCTTACCTGATGGAACACACTCCTACAGTTTGATCTCGACCCACTGAACACTTTTGACCGTCTGTTACTATTCTTATACTTATTTTAATATTTATTAATATTGATAATATGCATTTATTTTTATCAAACGCGACTACAACGTACTCGTCGTACAATTATACTTCTGAGGTTTGTTATTCATTGCTTCTATTCATTTAATCAACAGTCGTGTTTTTAGTTACCGCGAAAATGTGGAAAAAAATGGTTTTTAGATTTATTTAAATGACATTTTTATTTTTTTTTTTGTTGAAATTAAGTTAATAGATGAAAGTGAGTAATTGATAAAAATTTTTTTTTTTTGTTATAGGTTCATCGGATAAGTCAACTGATAAATGAAAGTCCAGAGACTAAAAAATCAACAATACACCATGTCCCAATTACTTGTGAAAGTCCTACGGATAAACGTCAAAATAATATTAACATCCATACACCTGTACCAGCACCCCCGGTTGATGATATGGAACCACAAAATATATCATTCATTGGTATGTTTGGTTTTATAAATAAGTTTTTGTTAATTAAATACTTTTAGATACTTATGACGTGATTTCTAAAAAAAGATACTCTCAAGTCTTTTAGTGTTTTTTTTTTTACTTTTTACTTACTAAATTATTGACTAACTTATCTTTTTTTTTTTTTTTTTTGATGAATATAAATGCTATGTTTAAAAAAAATTAAATTTCCAATTAAAAATTTTTAAATAAATAAATATAATAAAAATAGCCCAATATAAATAATAGTAATAATAATAATAATAATAATAATAATAATAATAAATTATAGGTAACGACGATGATTTCACACAAGGAATTAAACGACTACATATCACATCAGGAAGTCGTACATACAGAATAGCCTCACCAACAAAAACAACAATCTCACGTAACTCTTTTCAACCTCACTCATCGTTGCGTGAAGCGTCGCCGTCACCTACTTCAGCTATATCTCCACCAGAAATAACTCCTCTAGACTCATCGGACGCTGGTGAAAAGGGATTTTATATATCGTTCGACAATGACGGGCCGAAGAAGCCAAAACCTGCATTGCGTGTAAAAAGGTCACCCAAAAAGGAACGCACTGTATCCTCGTTTATTGAGCAGGAAGATTTTACAGCGCGTCCTGAATCTCCACCTGCGAATCCTGTAGACCGACAACGGCAGCTAGAGGCTCAGCGTGACCTGGAACGAGAACGTCAGAGGCAAGCCGAAGAGCGTGAGTATCTTCGTCAGGAGATGCGGGATCGGGAATTGCGACGAGAAATAGACAAAGAGCAACGGGCAAAAGATGACAGACTCCGTACTAATAGTGAGAGTCGTCAGAATGCTGCCAATGCTGTTGGTTTGGTCATCGGGAATCAGCTTGCTAACCCGGATCCCAATTCTATTGATGAAATGGAGCGCAAGAAGGAGCGTATTATGCTGCTGTCGTTGCAGCGACGGCAACAGCAGGAAGAATTGAAAGAACGAAAAGAAGCTGAAGCTCAGGCGCGCCGGGAGCAGGAAAAAATGAAAGAAGAAGAACGCTCGAGAAAAAAAGAAGAGGACCGTCAGAGAAGAGCTATGATTTTAGAACAGCATAAGTTGAAAAAAGCTATCGAAGAAGCTGAACGTGAGGTAATTTTTTTTTATATGACCTATCAAAAGTTACGTATTTTTGTTTCTTATTTGTTAAATTTTTTGAGGATGTTAATTAAATAAAAATGGACTAGCAACCTTGCAATCACTATGTGACTGCCGTGACTTGTGAACTATAAATAAATAAAATTTTGCTTTATTAAATAATGACTTCTGTTAAATGGCACTGTACTTTCTCAAATATTGAAGTTTTTAAATATATAAGCTCATCCTGATGTTACACTCATCAAGAGCTTTCATTTGAGTACCCACATGCATTTTGATATATTTTTCATATATACATATACATATATATATAATATATATAAATATATGAAAAATTGATGTGGGTACTCAAATGAAAGGTCTCGACGAGTGTAATGTCGGGATGAGCTTATATCTTTAAAAATGTCATTAGTTGACAAGATACAAGGTAATTTTTTGATTATGGCACATGACTATCCTGGACACTAAATTTTTTCTTATTCTCTTAATAATATAGATAATAATTTTGCGTTTAATTTTTAGGGTAAAGTAATCGACAAAGAACTTCTTAATGCCATAAAGCCAACTCCTAAATTACGTAATAAGACTGCATCGGCTCGTCCACGACCGAAAACAATCCACGTTGATCAGAGTTCGGAAATAGATTCTGGAGCTCTGACGCCTAGTCGCGGGAAAAAAGGTTCTTCCTCCAATCTCAGTACAGGTAAGTTCACCGTTGATTTATTTCCTTTAGTGTCTCTAAAAAATAAATATTTTTATTTTGTACAAGTATATACTCATATTGTGATTTATAATATTATAATATAATTTTTTTTCAAAAGTAACGTCCATGTTATTTTAAATGTATTGCATCGTACTCTGCATGTGTAAACTATTTGAATACCATGATTAATTTTTTTGTTATTTTATTTTTGACAAAACTTTGAATAATTTTTTTTTTTATTCTGTTTGAAAAGTTGTTATCACAACTCTACTCCACAAAAATATCACAAGCTCTAGATTTTTTGGCTTACTGTTGCTGAGAAAAATTAAAATGTTTTGTCAAGTGTAGGTTTTTTTTATGAATAGCATAGAGTTGGGTAGATAAAAAAAATAAGTGAAGTAGGGTAGAAAATCAGAGCTGTTGATAATTTTTTTTTGGCACTAACACACTTACTGTAGCGACGCTGATCTCACCAACGATGAAACGAGATTACTTCAGAGGCTCACAGGACACACTTACTGCTGCCCATTTCGATGACCGTCGCGCCGGCCTCTTCTCTAGGGGTGGCAGTCTCAAGGGTACGCACACACGCACTCTATCACTCACATTTTTATTTTATTATCCTTTACCTACAATTAATTTCATCTAACATTATTTATTTTTATTTATTTTTTTCCGAGGTCGTTTGTTAGTTTCAAATTAATTAAAAACAAATTTAAGGTCGTTCATGCGCGCGGTTGTTTATAGAATAAAAAATAAAATGACAACTTAAAAAAATAATCAATTCAGTTAAAATGTAAGGAACACTTTTCATTTTTAAGAAACAAGTATTGTTATTAATAATTAGTTAAATTTTTTCAGTAAAATTTTTAACTTTTATAAATTCACCATTTAAATTATCAAGATGTTAAATATTTTTATATTGTAAAAAAACGTCTTTAATTATAAAAATAAATTGTCTACTAACAAAACCTCAAACATTAACACAATTTATTTTTATTTAATTAGCATGATCCTCCTAACTAAAGCAGTCGTAGATAGTCGTAGCAATTAGTTTAAATAAATAAAATTATACATAAATAATTATAACAATAATAATATAAATTGTAATAGTTATTGTTATTACCCTTATTTTAGTATCTTCTGTAGACTCACCTGATGACGGTAGAGGTTGTTCGCCTTGTCGAAGCTCAACGCAACTCGGACGCCGCGGATCTTACAAAACATCACGAGGTGGGTCTTAAATTTTTTTATTTTATTATTAATTGATTAATTTTTTTTTTTCTTTATTATTATACTCCATTAGACTAGAGTGTTTTTTACAGTAGTACACATTTTTTATAGAGTTGGCTTAAATATTGTGATAGCTTACACAGGATGCAGCTCTAAAAGTCACAGAAGTTTAAGCGAATCCTTTATTTTTTATTTTTTATTTACGATTTAAGTAGAATTAGTACACAATTTATTTAAGTTGTATGCAATGTGTTTCTGCACCAAACTCGATTTATAAATTCCTGTGGAAATGGCTGGTAGTTAGAAAAATATATCCATTTACCGTAAGCTCAATAAACATGATAATAATATTAAATAAACTGTCTTAAATATAAATAAATAAAATTGACTAAATTGTAAAGGGCGTTGTTAAAAGGCTTGCGAGTGTAACAACGAAAAACATTGCATTATATTGCAGATACGCAGGAGCCTCAGCAACAGCCTAGAGGCAGGCCTAAATACTCAACTTACCAAAACTTTAAGGGAAGAAAGTCAAATTCGTTGATGAATTTGTGTGGTAAGAATTAAATACAACAAACAAAAAAACAAACAAAATTTAACAATTACCAGTCAATTATTCGACATTTATCGTTTTAACGCTACATTTATATTTATTTACCCTCCATTATGTTAATTATATCCAGTCACTTATTAACATTTTATATTCATTTAAATTAATCAGTAATCACAAATTATTTGTTTTGTTTTTTGGTCTTCGTACACTATTGTAAGCTATTATTATTATTACTAGTAATTAGAGGCATGGTGAAGGACTTTAAGGCACAGGTGGAAGTATCACACATTACTTACCACTCACTCACACAACACTCGTGTTAACAATAAGTTATAAGTTACAGATGATAATTATTATTATTGATAATTTTGTTTTTATTTGTTTATTCATTTAATTTTTTTTTTACATTAATTATTATAATGATCACTAGAGTTTGAAATTCGTAGCTCGGTGGACGCTTACTGGGCTTTCAGCACTTGGTTGTGGCTATTATAATTTTACATAAATATATGTATATATTTCAGATTAACGTCATGGATCCGGTTATAACATTTATTAATTAATTAATTTGATGCGCGCTTATTATTATTTTTTTTTTTATTTTTGTTCACAGGTTGCTGTTTTACGCGATTAGAATTTTTAATTAATTATTTTCGAGCAATAAATTAATTTCATTGTTAAAAAAAATTTTTTTAAGGTATCTCAAATGTTGAAATTTTTAAAAAATTTTATTGCTCGAATAATAATTAAAAAATCGATGTAAACTCACCGATGTATATTAAGCTAGTATTAATTAATTAATTAATCGTTAATCATTGTATCTAACTGGTGAAGGTTATTCATGATTGCGGTAAACAGAGCGGGAGTCATACATATTTTTTTAATAAATTTTTTTTTTATTTTTTTTTAATAAAGACTCAAATAATCATCGAATATTCCAAATCGATTGATTGATAAAAGATTAATAATAATTAATGGTGTCCATGCAGATACGGACAGCGGTTTGGGGCGAGCAACTCCTCCGAGAAGAGCACCCAGTCCTGGAATGGGAAGCACCAAGCATTTGCCATCGCCGTCGGGACCTGGATCTCTTCCACCTGGTCTTATGTCTAAACGACGATTTGATGACGGTAGCAGTGACATCAGCAGCACGCCTAGTTCTATGATGGAGTACAATGGTAATTAGAAATTTTTTTTTTTTTATTTTAAACTAGCAACCTTGCAGTCACTATGTGACTGCCATGACTTGTGAACTATAGATAAATAAAATTTTGCTTTATTAAATAATGACTTTTGTTAAAATGCTATGTGCTTACTTAACTATTGACTTTCTTGAAGGTATAAGCTCATCCCGATGTTACACTCATCAAGAGCTTTCATTTGAGTACCCACATGTATTTTGATATATTTTTCATATATACATACATACATATAT